ATGTGTGGGGCAGGGCAAGCTGCAGCCAGGGCTGTGCGGGACTCTCCTCCACAGGGGCTGGGCTCGGAGCGGGCACCAGCGGTGCTGGGAGGATGCTGCATCCACCCCAGATTTCGCCGCCATTTGACTCCCAGCGCCACCACCACAAGCTGCAGCCCCGGGACTTCCCGGTGCGTGGATGGAGGCGGGGCATGGAGCATACATATATATGTGTGTGTGTATTAGGCCTGTGCAAATAAGGAAGTATTCGATTCAGATTCGGGCAGTTTGGAGGATGCTGATTTGATTCGTAGATATGGATCATTGTCTTGAATCAATTTGGCCGAATTGGCTTCGGAAGATTTGGTGCTGATTCGGAGAGGTTCAGTGATTTGGATTGGCTGGGGAGAGGCAGGCACAGCCCAGCAGCTGCAGGTTTTCCCACGGCTCCTCCAGCTGTGCCTACCTCTTCTCAGGTAGGGTTAGCCATGGGAGAAGCCTCCATTGCAGCTGTCACATTGCATTGGTGCTGCATGGCTTGGCAGGGTGCTGCCTGCTGTTTGGGACCTGGGGCCACTGGGGCTGAGTGGTGCCAGGCTCCAGCTGACACGTGGAGCCACCCCAGCTCCTAGACAGTGCGTGTCGCCCTGCCAAGCTGCACTGCACCTGTGCCATGGGGCAGCTGCCTCACGGGTGCCAGGCAGGGGAGGGTGGTGATCCCCACTGCCCCGCGCTGCGCAGGGGGGCTCTGCCATGAGCCCTCAGAGGCACTGATCACCACTGCCAGAGCTGGTGAGTCCTTTTTTTTTTTAAAGTGCCAGGAGGCTAGGCTAGGCTGGGCTGGGCGAGGGATGGGGCCAGGGAGGGCAGCCATGCGGGCTTCTCTCACAGTTCCTTTGGCTGTGCCTGCTTCTGCCCTGGTGTGAGGAGCCACGGGGGTTATGCCTTGCTGCCGCTTGCCCAGCCAGTGCAGGACAGGGTGCAGTGCAGGCACAGCTTGCTCTAGGCAGCAGCAAAGCATAGTCCCCCTCCCAGTGCTCCGCGTTTGCATCAGCACTGGGAGTGGGGGCTCTGTTCTGCCGCTGCTTGCCAGCTGGTGTGGAAAGCAGAGGATGTGTGTGCAACAGTGCTGGGAGTGGGGGCAATGACCTGCTGCCGCTTGCCCCCTTCCGCCTGGAGTGAGCTGTGCCTGCATTCCCCCCCCCGTGTGTGTATCCTACTCTCCCAGGAGCAACCACAAGTGTACAGATATTCAGGCTATTCCTCCCAGGGTAAAAATGGCTTCTCCAGGAGAAAAAAAAATGGGCAACAACCAGAGTTAAATCACAGCAAGGAGAGTTTCTCCCGGGAAAATGAATGACTGTACATGCTGTGGTTTCTCTCAGATGAGAACATAGCCCTCCAGCATTCCCTCCTTTTTCCACCCAGGGAAACAGCATGTTGCTCACTGGACTTCGATGCTTCAGTAGGGAGCAAAGTACATCCCTTCACAATCCCCATGGTGTACTATAGGGGAACTCAGGCTGACCATGGGCAGTCTGGGTCAGCCAGTCAGGGGTGCCTGCTGCCACCTGTTCCTGGGTAGGTTAAGGGAGTCTGATGAGCAAGCTGAGATGTGTGCACAGGGCAATGCCTTTGACATCACAGCATCAGCTCTGCCAGCTCTCCACTCGTCAGGGCCTCAGCAATCAAATATCTGTACATGTGGCTCTGGGTAATTTTCTCTACCAGGAGGACAAACCTGAGAGAATTTTCCCAGATTATTTGAATGTGTGTAAAAATATACTGAGAGTGCACTGACTGACAGACAAAGAAGGAGCATTTCTTCTATGTTATTGAGATCTGAGATGTTTGCTTGTAACTTAGTCCTTATTTATAGTTGGGGGTGAAATCTTGGCACTGTTGAAATCAAAAAGAGTTTTGCCATTGACTTACACATAGACAGAATTTCTCACTAGATTCTCAAAGCTGTTTAACTTCCTCTACTCCACTTATTTTCTGCCTGGTCAGGGCCCTCTGACAGGTGCAGTGTCCTCATTCAGTGTTTGTGGAGTCAGGGTGAATGATTCTCCTTGGGGTGTGGTGAATATAGGAGAATTCTTGAATGAATTTAAGTAAATTTGACGGCTATAAAGCCATGACCTATAGAGATAAATGTGCAATATCCTAGGAACATGGAGAGAGATGCTGTTTTGTATTCTGTTTTGGGAGGAAAAAGGGACATTGGCCACCACTACAATTAATTTGATCGCTCATAGGTTTCTGAACATTATATTTGATTTGTTCTTCATCCAAAAACATATTCAGCTGTTTGCATTTAACATCTGAGAAGTTATTTTGCTGTCAACCATTTATGTCTGAATGTTTACTTATTAAGGTATCTCCCATACAGCAGTGTGAAAACAGCATTTGCTTGTCTGTACTTTGCTTTTCTAAAATTGAATGAAAGTCCTGCATGCTGGAATATATTGGTCACATCTAGTGTATTTTAGTTCTCAGCAAAATTTATGGCTTGCCAAAGCAGGAGAGTGTTCTGCAAGAATGGCTAAACCAGGCCAAAATTTACATTTCAAATTTTACCTTTTCTTTTTTCTTGGAAGGGTTTTGAGTAAAGAGTAGGTCTGGATTTACTGCATATTTTGTCATATCTGTAAAATTGTTATAGTACACACTTTCATGAAGAAATCTCTGTTGTAATTTTATTTAACTAAGGAGTAAAAGTTTCCTTCCCCAGAAAGGTTTTATTTATTCTGAGATGTTTCTCTTTGAGGGTCTGATGAAATGATCTGTTTAGTAGAGTTTTTTGGCTTTGCGTGTGTGTGTGTGTGTGTGCGCGTGTCTGTGTGTCTGTGTACATGTTAAGTCTGGTGTCAGAAAAATGCATCTTAGATTAATGTATCTGTTTTTGGTCTAATATGCATTATTTGAAGTCTTACTTCTTTCATTCCATTAGTAGATGTGTCTTGTAAATGATTTGTGGTCAGACATCCAAAATGACAGTACAATTCATATTTAAAAGTTGTCATTGGCATCTGTTTCACTACATTAAACTTGCCAGATGTTTTTTGTTTGGTTAATTAGAAAGCATATTGAAAAATCTAGACCTAGAACTGAGTTACTAAAGATTGAGTAAAAGTAGATACGAGTGATAAATTAATGTTGTCTTTGGTTAGCTTTCAATTTAAATACCATAGAACTAAAATAATCTAGTAATGTGTAGTCAAATAGTTCCAGATTATGGAATTTACATGCCTTGTTTGCTTTTTTCTGCAAACGAGTCCTGCTTTTTATTTTTTTCTCTCCCTTTCTCCTTTAATAAAGTATAGGAAATTAAATAATACATTTATTTAATGTAAGCATTATAAAGGCTTAATCACTCAAAGTCAGGAAGTTATAAAAATTAAGCATGAAGGTAAATGAAATTTGCAGTTATTAAGTTGGGAGGCATTCTGAACATAAGAGAGTAAATACATATTACTGAAAAAACCCAAACCAAACCCAGTCTTAAAATTGCACCTTAGTACTTCTAGAGAAAAAAGCATCAAGCCCACAAAAACCTGGAAAGTATTAATGCTGAAAAGACACAGGGGTGACAGCATACAGAAAATTAGACATGACTACGGTGAAATCAGGCAGCCAACCTGGCCAATACAGTTCTGGGGTGTTTAGTTCTGACCAAATAAATCCTGAAAGGCATAGGAACTATTTATGCTTAATTTAATCACATGCTAAAGTACTTTGGTGGTTCAGGGCCTCTACATAAAGATATTGCAGGATATGAAAGAAATATAGAGCCTTTCCATTAGTCTAGTGTAACCAGACTTGAATACTGTGTTTAGTTTTGGGCATCTCATTATTGCTAAATTGTGGGAAGTTTGGAGAAGAGCAACAAAAATGCTTGATTTCAGTGTGGTTACTTTGGATTTATACTGGTGTGAAATGAAACAGGATCTCACCAAAAGAGACTAAATTCAATTAATATTATTGTGTGGGAAAAGAAGATAGTTACTAGCCACTTTAAGTTTTTGTCCTCTCATTTTTTGATTTTTTATTTTTTTTTTTCTTAAAGCAGAATGCCTCCAACTTCATAGTGAACTGTTTGTATGTTTTATACAATCTTCATAATTGTCATTTCTTGAAGTTTGAATGCAAAAGAATTAGTTTTGGTTTACAGTAAAAAAAAGACAGAAAAAACTAATGATTGCTTTTGGATATGTACAAGCTTTTACTCTGCTTTTAGGTATGCACGTGTATGTGAAGTCAACAAAAGTTGCATGTACATAGCTGAAGATGGGATTGGAACTGTTGTACATAGGTCATACAGTCCCTAATTGAATTGGCAGTATATGGTAATACTTGAGATGGGAATATTAGTCTTGACTCTTACTAAGTTTTTGATTTACTAGAATTTATATGAGGCGACAGGCCTTTAAAATAAATAAATAAAATTCATTATATGTGAGGTAAATTCACTCTTATGCAATCGGTGTGGTGGAAGCCCGCAGCCAGCTGCTTTGTGCGGTGCACTGTGGGAGTGACACGCACCAAACTATAGTCTCCTATGTGGATCTGTGCTCCTTGCTCGTTGTCTGCAACACGTGTTTTTGTAGTTGCCATCCCCATTATGATAATGCCCTGTGCTTGTGTGTACTGTCTGCTGCTGATGAGTACCAAAATTGTCTTGTAAAAGTGATAGAAATGGGTCTGGGGGTCAGTACAGTTGAGGTCTTGGAACGTATCCCTATTTGTTACACTGTAAAGTGGGTTCCTTTTATGTGAATTCAAGTTATGCGCTGTTTTCCAGGAATGCCTGTACAGTATAAAGCGAGGGAAACCTGTATTGGAAAACCTTACAATGAAAAGAGAGGGGCAAGTATGCTGTAAGCAAAAGTCCTGAAATGAAAGAGAAGGAAACCCATTTATACCAGGTTCTGTTCTGTAGGGTGCTTTTATACTGCACAAACAGGACTTCTCAAATGAAAGTTTTCCTTATTATAACTTTTCAAAAATTTCTTTTGCAGACCTTTGCACAGCCAGTTAAATTTAATCCTGATTTTGGGATTTTTGAAGTAATTAATGACACCCCTCTGCGCCTGGAAAGCCAGCTTAAAAAAATACTGCATGCTCAGAAACCTCCAAATCCCATTTACAATGTTACAAGGAAGGCAAAGAATGATGGGCAGTTCTCCAAAAAGAGTAGTGCTTCTTCAGACCCAAATATTAACCCAAATTACAGGATTATGGTAAGCATGTTCTGTCCAGTGCCTTTTATTTAAATGTTTTTGTAGACATTTTGACAGTAGATACTGTTGTGTTTGACTTGCTAGCTTGGGGGAAAATGTTCATTTGTACAGTATTAGGAAAATACTACAATGAGCCAAATTATGCCTTCAGATCACCATGTGTCTCATACAAGTAAATTTAACTGCATTTGTACATTTTTTAGACCATCATTTAGTTGTGTGGCCTGAAGCTTTTTAATATTAAGGAAAAAATGTTGCTCACTAATATTATGACAACAATTAGTTTACTGGTGATCCTTGGAATGTACAAACTGATTGAAACTAATGCATCTCAGTCTTCTGCCTTAACTTGTGCCTAGCAGTTGTGTGGCTATGAGCTCATTCATGGTCTGGCAATATGTATGGGTCTCTTCCATTAGTTCTCAGAAGACTTACATATTTAACTCGTGTTAGCCCTGATGGGTAAAGCTAGCATAAGTCACTAATTCTGGCAAGCAAGAACTGACTTAGCTAAGTGGATGTTTTGGAAGATAAAATAAATTTCAGGGAAACCTTCTTCTCCTAGTGTTGTGTAGCCACTACCTGCTGTAATATTTTACTCTGCTTGCTTTAGTGGCTCTGTCTTTAGTTTTAGCATAGAAATGAAGTCAATATTAACTGTAAACATCTTAGAGAATACAAGAGAGTACAGATAGCTTTATAAGGAGTCCTTGGAGTTTTCCTTTAAATTGTACTTTTGCAGAAGAAAAGTACATTTCAGCAGACTGTGGTACTTGATTTATTCACTTATGCTATTGTGATATAATCAAGAAAGTTACATGACTCCAGTAGACACCATTCAAAACTGTTCTAATGTCTTAGGGCAGTGGAGGGCAACCTTTTTTTGGCAAGCATGCCACAAATTATCCCTCACCTTTCCTGAGTGTCATTCTGATCCTTATCCCCTGCCTGATCTGAGGGGCATCAGGTGGGCATCTTCTTTATGTTCTATGAGCATCCTGGGCATCTGCATTCCTGGTGGGCATCTTCTTTATGTTCTGTGCCCTGTGCTCCCCACCGGATCTGATGCTCTGCTTTCTGGTCCCTGCCCTATCTACCACTGTGCTGTCTGGCCCCTTTCTGAGCTGCTGGGTGTTGCATGCAGAAACTGCATGTACAGTAGGTTGGTCATGCTTGTTTTACTGTGTTTTGGAACTAATCAGCCATCAACCTATGCTATGGCCAGGGAGAAGGAAAATCAAGGAGCTGTAGCTGATTGCATCTCTACTTTGTTAATCATAAGCATTGTGAAGCAGGTATGCTTGCCCATAATGGAAGGTGAACTATAACAGGATACCATAATACTTTGCTAGTAACTATACAGGAAAAATACTTTGGTTAAAGAGGAGAAAGAGTAAAACCACATCTAAGGGATTCCATAGAATCTAGAAAAATACAGATCTTAACTAGAGAGACCCACATAGTTGAGTCAATGCCAATACAAATCTCAAGTGTCAGATTGTAAGCATATTAATGGGGCTATATTACTGGCTTCCAGATCAAAAAGAAAAGTGAATGTCCAATGCTGAGAGAGGGCAAAAAGGAAGCAAAATCTACCACAATGCTAAAAATAGGGGACTTTCACTGGTTACTGAAAAACTTGTCAAAGGGCACAGTGGAAGAAAGTTTTTCAGCATTCTAAGTGATTGCTTCTTGGAATGGCTAATTTGAGATCACACAGGAAGGGAAGCTATTTTTAGTCTAACTGGTACAGATGAGCTAATTTCATAAGTGCCAGTAGTTGAATCAGTAAGTAATGTTGGCCACAGTGTAATGAGGTTTGACATAGAAAGGTCAGGTTGACTACCAAAAAGTGATTAAGAATCACTGCTTTGAAATAACCAGCTGCATTGATCTCAGTGGAATTGAAGAACTGAATATATCCTTCTCTGTCACGTCTTAGGGTCTGTGGGGTTTTGGCTGAGCTTCCCTGTGCATTCTTGGGCTCCATATCCCTAACCTTCCCCACCTACTATTTCCTCTCACGTGAGTTGGGCAGAGGACAGTACTGCCCTATTTTGTGTTATATAAGGGCCCGAGTTATTTAACGACAGACATGATGTTTGTTATAGGCTATATGCAAGTTTACCAAGACAAACTGTAACATGCCAGATGTTACAGGAATTTATCCCTTGATAAAGCATTGCCACAAAAATGGCAGATCCATGACAAGAAGTTGTTGCTTCAGACAACATCTTTGCCTTGCCAGAACAAATTTAACACCTGATCAGGTCTCCAGTCCTTCACTATCATGCCCTGCTCCTCCTTCCCCACTCCAAGAGAGAGGCAGGAGGGAGAGAGAGCAGCTCATTCTCTGACAACCTGCCAAACAGCAAGTTGTCAGGGAGCTTGCAGTTTGCCTCACCATTGTTGCAGTGGTGGCAGAGGCTGCCTAGGGGTGGGATGGAGGAGAATGCCAGCTCTCAGGAAGCTCAAACATCAAAAACTTTGAAGGACTGCTGAACTGCCTGATTGCCATTACATTTAAAGCGTTCTTGAGATTCCTGAGAGTGGGGATGCCCTGGCAGTGGCACTCTCAGGCAGCAGGAGAGCCATGAACTTTAAAGGGCTCTTGGGCTGCCCATAGACTCTTTAAAATTCCAGACAGGGTGGGAGTCTAGGGCCTAGGAATGCCTACTAGGAAAGTACTCAGGTCTCAGGCTGCCCAACAATTGCCCACTCCTCTTCTCCCACCTCCAAGAAACAGGGAGAATGGCTGGCTTTGGGTGCCTCCCAGACCTATAAATGTGCAGGTAGCAAGCAGCTGGAGGCCACAGGGCTCTGGCCATCTGCCAGCTAGATATTGTGGTCATGGTGGCAAGAGTTCATGGTGAAGCCTGTCAGTTGACAGACTTCACTGGAGGCTGGGTGATCACCCCAAAGCTAGACAGCGTGCCTTTTGTGGCAACTTTGTTGTCTTTTGCCAAGGGGTCTTTGAATATATGGCTGCCCATACTGCTTTAGTTTTTGTGGTACTACAGCCGTTGTAAAACTACAACCCCCCCCCCCCATGTC